TCATGGGAGTAAAGCTAGGGCAGAAGTGTAATAAATAAATATATAAAGATAAATACATAAATTGTGGTGCTATCTAATTTGTATGTTATAGTCATTTTCTTCTCTCTGTTTCTTAGAAAGGTAGCTTTGTATTTGCATTAGTTAAATAGTCTATTATAAAACCTTGGATAGTAGATGTTTAGAATACAAGGTTCATGGTGATGTTTCTGTACATCTTACAATTGCTTGCAGACCAGGTAACATAATGGCATTGTGCACCACAATTAACTAATGAAAAACCTAACCACTGCATGTCCGGTTGGATGGAAATTGTAAACCATATTTATGAGAAGCACTCAAAGAGCTTATATAGGGAGGGGGAGCTGCCATTTATATATCTCACTGCAAGAAAGGTAATTACACATGCATAGCCTTAACAATGTTCTCCTGTTACACCAGACCATTATATCTTCAATTAAAGGGCCTAAATATAACATGGTAGCAATCCATCATTTTTCCTTGGACACACACCAAAATCCACTTCATAATTTTATAGTAGTTTTCTTTTTGTCATCTAAAACAACATGTGGGACATTACTCAGTCTGTCGTGAGCTTGCTGGCAGTACTTGGAATGGATATTGAAAGTTCAGTATGTATCTGTCAGAAAGGTCTCAAAAAGCTACAAGTCTTATATATTGCCACCAATATATAGCCCCAATAAAATGCCAGATCTTAGAGCTATTTCTTTCTGACATCTGTCCTGAACATGTGAAAGAAAGCACAGTCGATGTTCCGTTGTTTTCCCTGCTAAGTCTTGTTGAAAACAGTGTAAAGATTGTTAGGCTGCAATCTAAGATACACTTACCTAGAAATAAGCCCCCTTTAGTTCTGAGAGTAGATTCAAGTACCTGATGAGACTCAAATCAAAGTGTTGGTAACAACCATTAATAGGATTAATTCCAGGACATATTAGGGAGCCCCTCTTTTAACATCAATTTGTCCATGCCTAACTGTCTCAAGAAGAGACCATTCTGTTTCCCAACTACAGTGGTAAGAAGAGTAGAAGTCATATAACTACATCAAAACTCTGAATTCCTTCATCTAACCTGGCACTCTCTTCATGCATGATAGTGAACTTTCTGTTGAAGCAGTCATTTATTCTGTGAATTATGTAATATTTTATATTTTAACTAATATTTTGTCATATTTAATTTCATTATCTGTAACCAAAGATGTGACAGGCACTCAGAAAAATTCTCATTCTTGATTTTCTGGGTTTCACCATGGCGAGATGCCTCACTACATGGTGAGATTTCCCAGCTTCCTGCAAAAAATGAGAATATGGTCTTGTTTTCCTCTCGATCCACTTTTTCTCTCATTGTCTTACACTAGAAGTTGCGAAATTCTGTACTGTTTAATGAACATTCTGGTGAAACTTGTGGGTGTGCCCTTCTGTGTAGGAATTGTTAACAACCATGCTCAGTTTGGCGTTTCTTCTGCTCTTACCAGATTAATCCTGTACAAGAAGAATAACATTCCGTATAGCAATTCTAACAGCTTGGAACTTCTTCTAGAATTTTTTTTTTAAAAAAATAATAATCACAAAATTGCTGAGAAATTCCTTGAGATTTCGCATGAGTGGGGAAAAATAATCTTGTGTAAAGAAGCCTTGATGTGATTCCACTCCCAAAAGTTGCATCCTCATACTGTGTGACTGCAAAATTCCCATTCCTGTTTTTAAGTGCTATTGGTTGTCCTGAATGGTGTCTAAACAGTACAAGGTGCTGTGTATATTTTGGGGTAAATAAAAGGATACTCCAACTGTATAAAGTTTGTACAGCTGTATAAAGTTTCCTGAATTTCCTCTCTGAAACACAGACTTTACTTCTGTAGTTGGACAGGCAGCAGTTCTCCAGGAGGTTTCAGTACAGATGAAAATTAAACCACTACTCCAAATTCCTTGAGGTCTACCCTGATGAGGGATGACAGGATCCACTATCCAGCAATATCAGGAGAACCACAAGTTGGCTACACTGATAAGAAGGCTAAATATATTAACTACTCACTATTTTGAGCCAGTTCACATGACTGCAATTGTATCTTATTTTATTTACTTCCTTTCAGTTTTGGAGGGAACGTTTAGCAAAAAATTTAGGAGAGATGAAAACTACAATATGTTTTACTTGTGTAATTGGTATTTCATCCAGCATTTCATTTTTTTCATATATCTGATGATTAGTCTTAAAGACTAATTAATAAAATATAATAATTAGTCTTTAAGGTGCCACATTTTTGTCTTGTTTTGTTTCTTTTGATTTTGCCTGATATACAGTGAAGATTTTTTTCTCAATTTTTGTTTTGTACAATGTTTGTTTCTTTCTCTGCCCCTCCCTCAATGATCATCATACAGTCTACATCCACACTTTCAATAGGACATGCTAAGTTTAAAGTCAAACAAGAAGTGACAATAAATCTGTGGTGGTCCTTACTCACATATGCCTGTCAGTAGTTGATGGGGCAGTCGTCAAGTGAGAAAACTACTTCTGCATGCACTATTATGGAAAGAGTGCTGGAAACTGTTCAGAACTATTCAGCAAAGGCTAGGCAGTCACTTCTCTTCCTTAATTTTCAACCACAAACCAAAAATTGACAAAAGCCAGAAGAATCAGAGATCATTGCCCTAGTAGAATAGGTGAACAGTACATCCAGTCCCTTTGTCAGCTTGAAAGTCTCTCAGTGTTCCTGCATTCCCAGTGATGAATTCCTCTAATAGCTTCTATAGTACTTGATGGAAAATGTACATCCCAATAGAAGGCTTTTTTTTTCCTCCTGGGGAATTCATTCATTTTACTAGAAAAGAAATTCTCTTTCACTAAAATGTCAGGCTAAATGCCAGGTAGATAAGCTGGCTACTGGTGAGCATTCACTGGAAGCTGTTTGCTTCGTTTCCTCAAAGGGGATGGGGAGCAAAGCCCCAGACTCTGACTGATGTGGTTTGTTTCCACCGCAAGTGAGAGTAAACTTATTTCAAGCCACATGATAGTGGAATGAGAATCTCCAGTGTAAATACTGCATTAGAAGGACAGTCCTTGCTTTGAAAATTAATGAAAATTAAATATTTGAATAATATGCTGGATATCTGTGTTTCCAGGAACTGTTCGCCTTGAGCTGTGCAAGGGAGGGGTAAGGTAAAGATATGAAGAAAGGGAAAGAAAGAATTTAATATTAATAAATATGAGCAAAGATTTTTTTTGGCAATCTTTCACTGATTAAAGCAAAATATGCCACTTCCATTCTCTTTTAGACTAGCAAAGCAGTGCAATAAAATGGTTACACGAATCTAATCTGCCACTGTAGGATTGCATTCATCTTGTCAGAAGGTTTATTTGGATAAAATAACTGTTTGTTTGACTGCAAACAATTTCTTTGGATTAAAGGCCATTACTTGCAGTGCATTTCAGATGTGACAGATTAATGGATCCACATGGCGTGACTCTTAAGTTCAAGTGTCTGTCAAGGGAAATAAATACCCAGCTTTGATTTGTGAATTTGAAGCCCACTATTCACTTTAACAATCTCTGCAATACTGAAAGAAATATTCACAGTGGACTTAAAAATCTGACTAATTCAGTGTTTTGTTTTGTTTTGTAAGGTACCTTCGGCTAAGTAAATAAACACTGAAAGGTTGAGCCAGACATGAAATGTACTTTTGGCCATAGTTGCATCTGCATTCATCGTACAACTTTCTCTTTTTGCTAAATAATATTGGTAAGGTGTTAATAATCTATAATATATTTTGCTTCCAAAGGCAGAAACCACTGCACACTCCCTCCTCCCAACAGAAGCTGATCTAATTGGCATTCTAATCTTCAGTTCTAGTGACACAAGGACACAATATTCCAACTTTCCCCCAGGTCAGCAGGTTATCTTAAGGATACAGAGCAAGATAGCTCATGGTCAATAGCAGGAGGGAGGCTGCTGCTATAGCTTCATACCTTAAACATCTGCTTGCAGATACAGCTGCATCACTCTGCCTAATGATAGAGACAGCCAAGGTAATAGTCACTGTTGGTCAATGCTGGATTAAGCTGCAAAATCCCTGTTTTCTATAAAGGATCTTGTTTCTGCTGCTGGTTTCATTACCAACAGAAATCATGTTTAAGTGCATGTAACTTCATTTTTTTCTTGTGACCATTCCCTTGGCCATCTTGAAATATTCTGGAACTATAGCTTTGTTATTACAACAATGTTTACTATCCCTAAAAGCTCTAATAACTACTTCAGAAACCACACATTGGACTTTTTGTCTGGAAACCTCATTTTCTTCCTATTTTGTTGTTACACAAGAGAGAGAAAGCCTTACTGGCTGATGAACAGGTAAAAACTATATAAAATAAAATAACAGTTGGCAAGAATGGAGTAATCTATCTTCTTGCAGTCATTCCCATCTGTCAGGAAGTCAAATGTTTAGGGACAATCTAAGCATGAAGGAACAGTCAGCAATATTTATTGCTATAACTTTGAAGGAATTTAACACACTGTTTACAGAACATTATTTGGTACACAAAGCTTGATGGAGATACATACAAATTTAAGTCTGATGCTTTGGTACATGGATGGGTAAACTCCAGATGGGCACTTTTGCCTGCTGAGATCACATCAACAGCTATATACACTCCCAAAATGCAATTAATTCACCAGGTTTTTTTCCCCCCAAACCACAAGTGGCTGAACAATTACTTTGCGTTTTGAAAAAAATAAATAAGAAAAAAGACCCCTATCCCCAACACACTGCAGCAAACCCTCTAGAAATGGAAATTCTCCTTTTTTAGCCCCTCCCCTTTTGGGGGGACATCTCTGGACACTAAGCTTGAAGAAATAGCCCTGGGGTCTGCGTACCTCCAATGGGGCATTAGATTCTCATCCCCTTCTAGAGCAGGATGCATTTTCAGTAATGGGATACAAAATCCCACCATGGAAACAAGACAGACTTCCACAGAGTTAAGAAAACCATACTTACAGGCAATACGAACATAGGCTTTCCTGCTCTTGGTCGTGCCTGCTGAGCTCCAGGCAACACATTGGCACCAGTAATCTTCAGGGCCAAAGAGTTCTTCAACTTGCTGGCGTGAAATTTCAATGCTCACTTCTCGGACAATCAATCCTGCCAAAACATAATCAATAGCCTTATCTTTATTTCAGAGCATTAGTGGATGGGGGAGGAAAAAAAATAGTGTTCCACACTCAACAACCTATGGTATGGCAGTGCCCCCTTCTTTTCAGATTATAATAATAATAATAATCATGTGCCATCACTTGAATGACATGACATCTTGGCATGTGTCGGACAACAACATTATTTAAACTAAGGAAGTGATAATAATTTCGTAACAAATATAATCATGTGCCATCAATTCTTATTTATGGCAATCCTTTCCAGGGTTTTTTCAGGTAGGGAATACCTGGACATGCTTTCCCATGATCTTCTTCAGGGAGCATCTTGGGACTGTGCAGCTTGCCCTTTCTTCAGGGAGCATCTTGGGACTGTGCTGCTTGCCCAAGGCCACACAGACTAGTTGTACTCATAGGAGACAGAATGGGAAATCAGACTCCCAACCATTGGGTCTGCAGTCAGACACCTAACCCACTGAGCTTGGTCCCACACTCATGCTTAGAAATCATGGCTCCAGCAAATACATCAGGAACCCAAACGGGTCTAAAGCATTAGAGATGTCAAAACACTATTTTTGCTCCCATATTCTTTTTGACAAGAAGTAATAAAAGTGTTGTTTCTGGTCATGGGGCTTTCTTGGCAAAGATACTGGAGTGGCCTATTTTCACAAACAAAGCATTGGAATGCAGTTCTGGAAAGGTAACAGCATTTTTTGAACACCAAAATGGCCCTGGCTAATTATATTCTAAAAAAGACTTTGCTTTAATTATATGCAGACTGCAGCTTCCAATTATTGGTATGAGGCAAGGAACAGATAGTTCATTGATAACAGCACCACTGTGTTGATCTCAAAAAAAAACACAAAAAACCCAACAACAACAACAACAAAAAAAAAACATGCCAGTATCAGTTTTATGCTGGTGGCTTATTCCAGGTTGCTATTACAAGTTCACAGGTGATCTCAAGATGAGACTTGTGCATTAATAATTAGAAGGGTTGTGGAGTTTCTCAGACCAGATATCTTCAAGTAGAAAGTCCATAGATATGTTAGGAATTTTTGAGCACTGCATTTTCGGTCAAGCAGAAGGCTCAACTAGGTAGCTGACAAGGATCTCTCCAGCTCTATGTTTCCAGGACCATGTATATTTCTTTAAACAGCACAGAAAACATCTCCTAGGATTCTCAAACCAGCAACGACAGCTGCCCATATATTGGCAGGAACACAGTATGGGTGTTAAAACAGTTTTGACCTGCCTTACTGCAACTGACAAAGACTGATGGATGCATCCAACATGTTAGAATAGATTTTCAAGACACACTTTAGCTCCTCTTAGAGTATACCAGCATAGCCTAACACATAGTTTTGCATCAGCATACCACCTGTTCCTGTATAACTCTGTATGCTTCTTCAAGCTATCAAATGACGTGTTTCCAAAAGACATCAATATGTCATAGTGAACTTTATATGGTATGCTAATATTTTAAGATGCTGTATAAACTTGTTAAACTTGTTGATATGCCTTGATATATATATAAACAAGTGTACACACACACACACACACACACACACACACACACTAATTTGCTTCAGAAATATTAGTTTAGGAAGTAAAAGAAACTCCTTGTTGGATGAAATTACTAAAGCAGCTATACCATTTCAACAGCTGCAGATGGAATATTTCTTCAATCTTGCCTCAATATAGCTAAAATAAACCTTATCAGCCTTTGCTAATATAGTTGAATTCCCTCATATGACAACACTTCCTGGGTGTGCTGGAGACAATTAAATTTGTTAAAGCATTTTTACCAGCAAATAACTTATTATGTCAGCATATATGATACTGCAGACCATATGGAGAAGCTGTATTATTTCATTGGAATCATCTGCTGTTGTATCACACAAATGCCTCATATGTAGGGTTGCCAGATGTCCGGCAAAAGGAGGACATGTCCTCCTTTTTGGCCTAATGTCCTCTGTCCAGCAGGCAAAGCTAAAAACCTTTAAAATAGGCTTCTGTAATATTTTATGTTATAATTTTTGATGGGAGGGGAAGAGGTGGAAGGTGGAAAGCAGTCTCTGATGGAGTCACAATAGAAGACACCACTTTGGGGCTGTAAATCAGCCATGCCCACGTGGAGCCTTTGTTTCTGGAGGTGATTTCCTGCTTCGTTTTGAGCAAGCTGCGCATAAAGATTAGCAAGGAAAGGAGAGCAAGATCTAAACACACACACACACACACACACACACACACCACGAGTGAGAGGGAATGGGCAAAACAAAATGAGATAGTCGAGAGATAGCAGAGGCTGGAGAAGGGTAGGATCTTTTTTTAAAGGGGAATAAAGTTTGTGGGTTTGCCCGGAGGTATTTGAGTGAGCAGCAGGAGTCAAGAAAGGAGAGACCGCGGCGGCTAGAAAAGATTGAGGAAGGCTGGCAGAGAAGAAGTGAAGCTGCAGGGAAGGGGAGCCAGAGCAAGAGCGGGGCTCCGCATCAGGTGCCTGTCAGAGAAAGAGGGAGAGGGAGAAGAGGCGGCAGCCACAGCCGCCACTGCAGCAAAAGGAGGCAGGAAAGAAAGGGGAACCTTCTCGCAGAGCTCACCTTGGTGCAAATGAAGGAGCAACAACAGCAGGCACAGGGATATGTCATGTAATTAATAAAGATTACAGTGGTGCCTCGCTTAACGATTTTAATTGGTTCCAAAAAAACATCGCTATGGGAAAACATAGCTAAGTGAAACGCGTTTTCCCATAGAGATGCATTGAAAACCAGAAATTCCGTTCCAATGGGAACGGATTACTATCCTTCAGCGAAAATTGCCATAGAAAACATCGCTAAGCGAAACGTGGTTCCCCCATTGGAATGTATTGAATAGGTTTCAATGCATTTCAATGGTTTTGACAGGTCAGTTTTCGCTATTTTTAACGTGTCTTAAAATGTTCAAAAACTGTTTAAAATGCTTGGAATCGTTAGTGCACCCTGTAAAACCTTTGCAAACTTAATTTAGCTTTGTTCTGAGTCTTCGTTAATTTTTGGTGAATTTCCCCCCCCCCATTGGAATGCATTCAACTGTAGGTTTGACAGCTCAGCTTCAGAGCTTAGGAAAGGTACTTCATGATGCTCTAATGCCCAGAATCTTCCCACAAGCCACATGGGCTGAGAAATCCTGGGAATCTTGAAAAGTTATTTTTCCAAGCTCTGGTAAGCTTGTCAAGATGCATCTTTTGCCTCACCTTTAGGATCAAATTGGTTGTCACTGCCACCTGACCTCTCCTGTGTTTCCATGCATATACCTATTCCTTGTGAACACTGATGACTTTGTCTAGCTCAACATGTGTGGCATGATTATAGTCTTAAACAATTACATGGGGATGTTTGGATGGGGTTATGAAATCAAGCAGTCTTGGACTTTGTGCAACAGGAGAACAACTACGGGGGGGGGGAGTTTAAAATTTGTTTCATTTAGTTCCTGGCAAAGGAGAATTGGCATCATTCACCCTTGTATATATACAAAATCCACGACTGAATAACTGCCAGTAACTTTTCAGAAAAATCCAGGAAATTACAAATTTGCATACATTAATATATTTGCATAAATTTAAACACCAGGGCTCAGAAGCATGTGCTTTCCATTTAACATTATGTCACAACGAACCTAAATATAGGAGAATAATTGCATGGGTTTGCAAAGACCCCGAAAATTCAGTATGAGCTGCTTGCTGTATAAAATCCCAGTAATTAAAAATTGGCAATGAAATGCCTTATGTTCTCTAAGCTTTGGATCCTCTTGAGGAGAAAGGTGGGATATAAATAAAATAAAATAAAATGGTGCTACTTTGGCATGGCGGGCAAAATCAAGACGCAACACCACAGGACAGGGCAGCTCACTTTTTGACTTTGTGACCCTTATTTTCCACATGCAGAAAAAAACAGTAAAATGCCTTAATCGCAAGGAAAATATAGCATTTCTTAAGAAAATGTACTAGAATTAGTCCCTTGGCTCTTCCATGTATGGATGGGAAACACTCTTCATTTAACATCTGGAAAGTTGCTACCAGTCTTTCTACAGAGTTTCCAATGTTGCAGGTTTTGATTTCACTTCCAAATCAAATCCTACTCTATGGTGTTTTGTTTTTTTAAAGCTTGTTATAAGCATTTTTGGCACTGTTCTTTCAAATTACTCAGAATAGGTAATAGGTCTCTAGAAATGTTAAAGATGAAAATCAATTTTTCCCCTCCACATACCCCAATTCATGTGTTGGGAAAGTTGCAAAAGGTGCCTTGACTTACGAACATCCCGACTTACGACCATTTCGAGTTGTGACCAGTTCCAGCTGGAAAATTTTCCTTTGACTTGCAGCCAGAGCTTCGAGTTGCAAACAAAAGAGGCAGGGAAAAAAAGGTGGGGAATTCAAATTAGAGGGCTAACCGTTGGTTGGCGAAGAGGCTGCTTCTTTGTAGCTCTTTTGCCCCAATGGTTAGAGTGAGTGCGATCGGAGGAGGCTTCAGGGCTCCCTGGAGGTGTTTTCTTCTCCTGTGTAAGTACATTTACTTTGTTTTGCAGGGTGGGTTTGGGGTTGGGGAGTTATGTTTCTGTGCTGTGATATTTTTTGTGTTATGGGCATTCCCTCCCCCCAGCCCCATGGCATTCTGCTGGGGCTGTCTGTCTGTGGGTGTGTGGGTGTGATTTTTTGTTTTGTTGTTGTTGTTGTTGTTGTTGTTGTTGTTGTTGTTGTTGTTGTTGTTGTTGTTGTTGTTGTTGTTGTTGTTATTTTTATTATTA